TCTCTTTGTCTGAATAGACCCACTGGAGCTGGTATAAAAATTGCACTGAATTAAACAGCCTGGTAAGGGCTGGGTGCTAATGTTATGTGTCTAGGGGCTTCACTGGGAGCTTGGCAACAGTTCTGAGGAGAGCAGAATTTGATGCATGTAAATAGGTACACAAGCCAAATTTACAAAACTTTTTAAGTTAATATTATGGCTGGAGGCAATCATTTTAACTTGTACTTCCATGTTCCTTCTCTCATTTAGAGAGCGAAAAATGTTTCCATTCACTCTTCTGTCCTGACCTTGTAGTTACCATTGAGAGAAGAGACGCACCAGTGATACATTCATTTGGAGCTAGCTGCTTGTATTTTCCTCTTTTCTTTTTTCCCTGCTCACAGTTCCTGTGCTGAATATGATCTCGTATCATTGTTTTTGGAAAGCAGAGACAACCCTTGCCTGCTGCAGTCAGCTATGGTTTTTTTTTTTCTTCCTTGTTCAGCATTTTATATACACATGAGACTGCAGTATTGCATACAAAAATAGCTTCTCTGTAAAGTGTGGTGTTTCAGTTGCTCTAATCACTTAAATTTCTTGGAAGATGAGTGTTTTGTGATCTTCACCTGCTCTGCTTTTGTCTGGTATATCAGCAAGGTGAAAGTAATCAACTTGTGATTAAAAATAGAGTAGGGGTTTACTACTCTGCCATTTACTTAGGTATGTAGAGGGAAGTGTAATGGACACTTTAGTAATTGTAGATACATGCATTTAGGTGTGAATCGCACACGGCAGATAAATTTACAGCTCTGGATTCAGTTTTAAAAGGGCTGGCGTGAAATTCCCCCAACCCAGGGGTATTCTCCTTTGGGACAAAGCTTGCTGAGATGCTATCTGTGCCAGACATGTCCTACTCCCAGAATAAGTTGTCATAGGAGAAGAGTACAAAAAGGACTTGGATAGGGGAACCACCACATACTTGTGTAAACCCTGCAGAGACAAGTCTATCTCTAATCGGTAGGGATCCATGTTTTCTGTTTCGCATGGGAAAATGGGGAAAAAACTACGGATTTTCCCTTTTAACCAAGAAAACCTCAGATTTTTTATTTTAATGGAGAAATGCATGGATTTTCTAGTTTTGCAAAGAGCTCTCTGCAGGCTGGCATAATTCCAGTCTGAAAGGGGCTGTGGGGGAGCAAGAGGAGGTCAGGCAGGCAGGGGGCACCACGTGCATCTACACGTGTATATTTGCATCTGGCCGTCAGGCAACCAAGAAAGCAGCTCCTGCGGGTAAGTTTGTGGGGGGAGGGAATTGAAGGCCGCTTAGGGAGGGAGTTGGGCTGGGGTTGGGGCTACTGCAGAGTCCTGGCAGGGAGTAGGATGGAGCCATGGGCAGTTCATCCAGGGGGTGGGGATGGGCTGGCTCCCTGCCACT